GGGGCGGCGGGCGGGCGGGGGGGGAGGAGCGGCAGCTGCTCTCTGGGTGGCAGTGAGGGCTGGACCCTGCCTACTGCCCCAGACCCACGACAAGAGGCGCCGGGAGGACGAGGTCGCCCGCACATCCGCCTCATGACACGGGGGCGACTTACAGGTGTTCCCCTACCGCGTTCGAGCCCACACACTGCCCCGGGGTCTCCTCAGGGGCCTGACGGTGCAATCACTGCGAGCGGGGCGGGGCAGGCTAGGCCAGCCTGGCCTTGTGTGGCCCTGTGCAAAGCCCCTCCCTCACGGGCCTCAGTCTCCTTGTTGGTCCAAGGAGGCAGTCAGCTGGCTGACCTGACACCTTATGACAAGCTCTTCTCTAAGGCACTCACTCCTCTATGCTCCCCCCAGGCCCCATGCTTCCTGTTCCTCCCATCTCCATAGAAACTTCTGTCCTCTGGTCAGCAATGGCCTGACTCCTGACTTCCTATCTCTGCTGAGGCTTCTCCTGGGTCTGCTCAGAAGCCCAGCCTGGTCTCAGGCCTGTCCCAGCCTTTCCTCTGCTCGGGTGTGGAGCTTCTCGCCACAGCACAGCTCCGAGTGGCAGCTTCTTGTCACCTCACGCTCTGTCACCTTCCACATACCACACGGTACGTGTAAAGGTCACCGGAGGACGCCCCACAGGGATCTAACACCAACAGCAGAGCACAAATGGCTGCCCCTCAGCCTCCCGGTGGGGGACCTGGGGTAATCCTGTCGCACCCGAAGGGGACAGAGTGGGAAAGGACTCACGGGCCCCGTCAACTGGCTGCTGGGAGCCTGGGGAGGACAAAGGATGCTACAGGGAGACAACGCACGGTGGTGGCTGGCCATGCACCCCTGGTGAACAGCACCGAGTGGGGCTGCAGGTGGCCAAGCTAAGGCAGCTGCCGGGGGTGAGCGGACACGAGTGCCTCAGCTTCATCGGCGACTGGCTAGGAAGCACAGGACTCCTGGCCTCCCAGCCAGACTGTCTCACACTCTATGTTAGCTTCAAGTGGAAAAGCCCATGAGCCTTGGCATCCTATATCTGCTATTGCTTTCCTGGGCTGACCAACTAATCTTTCCGAGTCTCAATTTTCTTATCTGAAAAATGGGGGTTAAACGACCCAGTTTAGGAGGTTTGACATAAGGGAGGTTCGGATGAGATAATAGTAGAAAGTACCTGACAGCGGCTGGCAGAGAGGAGGGGCAGGGCAGGGCAGAGCCTACGCCTATAGCAGACACCAGGGCGTGTGGATAGTGTCACCTCCTGGGGTCTGTCTCTGCCCACGGTGGGGGTGGGAACCCGGAAGGGGAGTTCCCAGGATGGCGACCCCCGACCCCCTGAGGAACAGAGCCTGGCAGCCAGAGCCACCTGGGTGTCTGCTCTTGCTGTGATGAACGCCCTCTGCCCCTGGCACCAGGCCTGGCCCCCGGGGACCCCTCTGCTTCCAGAGGTGTTCGCACAGGCCGCCCTGTGGGATTCGGCCAGAGTGCCGGTTCCACGCTATGGACGGGCCCCTCACGCCCCTCTTCCCGGTGCAGGCTAGGAATGGTGCCATGTGGCCCCATTTCCAGCAGCCCCAGAGCCAGGGCCTGGAGCTGCTTCCCCAGGGTCTTGCTGCTCAGAAGCCACCTCTGGCTGCTTTGCTCCCACGGCCCTGAGGCTGAGGTCGGAGGGGAGGAGACGGGGACGGCTGGAAAGGGGGCCTGCCTGGGGCTGGTGAGGCAGGGTTCCCAGGTCTCTGTTCACTAAAAGGATCCTGCCCAAACCAAACCAGAATGCACAGGGTGGAGAGGTGGGCCAGGGCTGCATGGCAAAGGAGGCGACCAGGCCAGTCATGTTTACCTCAACAGGGTCCTGCCCTGGCTCGGGGACAGGAGCTCAGACAGGAGCTCGGTCGGCCTACGCTTTGCCGGTCCGTTTCCATCAGCTTCAGGAGCCTCGAC